GCCACCCAGGCGCCCCTAAGTCAAATAAAATTTAAAATTCAGTTCTTCAGGGGGTGCTTGGGTACCTCCGTTGGTTAAGCGTCTTGACTCTTGATTTTGGCTCAGGTCATGATCTCACGGTTCAGTTCCTGAGATCAAGCCCTGCATCAGACCCTGAGCTGATGGGACAGAGCCTGCCTAGGATTCTCTCTCCCTCCCTCCTGTCCCTCCGCCTCACAGCTTGCGTGCTCTCTCTCTCAAAATAAACAAACATTTTTTAAATAAACAAAAAATAAAATAAAATTACGTTCTTCAGTCATCCTAGCCATATGTCAGTCAAGTGCTCAGCAATCACATCTGGCTACTGGTGACTTTACCAGATAGCACAGATCTAGAACATTCCATCATCACCCAATTCTCTACTGGACAGAGATGCTCTGAAGAGAGTAGGTCTGAGAGGAAGCCAGGAAGCAGCTGACAACAGCCAGTCAGAGCCTGACTCAACCGGGAGTTGGCATTCTGGGCTAGGAGGCCCACGGTGGGACCCTCCCCCACAGTGCGACAGCACCCAGCAGCCAGCCATGTAGTCCCCAGAGAGAAAACACGACCCAGAAGACAACTGTCAAAAATACCAAACCAAGGACAAGAACCCTTAGATGGTAAAAACTGTGGACAAAATACATTCAAGAACATCTTCATGTGCAAAACAAAGATTAAAAAGCAAAACTATGTGGGAAAAGCTAAGGGGCCGGAAGGTCACTCCTGGAAACTCAACATGCAGTCCACAGGCTCACCAGAAAGAGAAAGCGGAAGCAGAGAAATGACCGGCGCCACACCAGAAGTCCCCTGTGCCAAAGGATGCAAGTGTTCAGCCTAAGACTGACCAGCATGAGAGAAAAGACCCAGAGCACGTCACACTCCTCTGAAATATCAAGTTCTAGAAACTTTCAGCAGCAAAAACAGACTCCTGAAAAAGAAACTTGGACTTGGTAACAGTGGGTGAGGGAACCGTGCCTTCTGTCTTCACCGAGCCAAGATGAAATGTATTTCTTCTGCCTGAGACAGGGGACCGCTCAGAAAGCTTACCTTGCACAAAACCTTCAAGGTTACCTGAAGAGGAAAGCAGCACGCACAGCACCAGCCCACTTTTTAAAAGGCACGTACGTGTACACTAAAGCCGACGCTCAAGGCCTCACACGGCAACGTGTAAAGTTTCAACAGCCCTGTGGGACAGGTAGTGCTAATAATCCCCATTCTCCAGGTGGGGAAACTCAGGCCACAGCCGCTGAGGGGCTGCACGGAGATGCACACCCAGGCAGCCTGGCCTGGGGCTCCGGCACCCAGCCCCCACCCCGTGCTGCCTTTCCTACCTTCCTCCTTCCTAAGTTCACCACCAGAAGCGTTACTTTTGCATATAAAAAAAAGTGTTATCAGGATGAAACAAGTCAAAAATAAGGGGCACCCGCTCCGGTCAGGATCTCACAGTTCTCGACTCCCAGCCCCAGGTCAGGCTCTGTGCTGACAGTGCACCGCCTGCTTGGACCCTCTGTCTCCCTCTTTCTCCCTCCCTCCCCCACTCATGCCCGCTCTCTCTCCTTCTCTCTCTCTCAAAAGTAAACAAACATAAAATGACAATAAACAAACAATGAAAAACAAAAGAAACACAAAAGTCAGTGCCCTTAAGTTGAGTTAAGGAAGCCGGAGCCTCCGTGTCTCCATCTACACAGATAACTCATCACCCTTCGACGGTGATCCCCGTAGAGGGCTGGCGCTAACAAAATGAGCCTGGAAAACGTTAAAATTCACACTACGAGCAAGGGGTGCAGAGACCCCGCGAAGAACAAACAAGACCGGGGCAATGCGTCCTGACGCCCGCGGCGGCGGGCACACACGTGTGACCGAAGGACCCACCGCAGGAGGAGCGGCCTCTGTTCTTACCGAGGTGTGGGTCCAGCAGGTGAGGCTGCTCCTGATACTTGTCCATGATCACTAAGAAGGAAAACACGAGGGTTAGCTTCGCTGGGGCAGACATGCCCGCTTTCCCTCGCCGCCTTCCGCGGCGCAGCCCCTGGGGCACAGGCCACCTAGGGGGCTCCCCACCACCACCCGCCGGCCCCTCCTCCCCGCGTGCGCGGAGCGCCTTCCTCTGGAGCCCGTTCCCCCACCTCCTCTGAACCTTTCTTTGCTCCCTCCTCGAGTCACAAGTCCTCCCCTTCACCAGACAAGACACCTCCCCGCACCCACTTCTCCCCCCGCCCGACCCCGCAGACCCCAGCGGCCGCTGGCACAGCTGTCAGATCCCGCGGCCACCTGCCACACACCTGCACCTGTGACAACTCCCCAGGAGGGGGGAAAAGGGCCTTCGCTGGCCCCCCGACGTGCCCTCACCCTCTCGGCAGTCGTGTGCACAAGGTCTTGTTTTTGAACCCCCGGTTCACGGCCAAAGAAACAGCCTCAGAGCAAGGAGACAAGGCGCCCGAGCGGCAAGCGGGACGTAAAAACCCTGGGGTGGGTCACCAGAGCATATGCTTTGTCAGGGCAGCCGCCACACTGCCCCTCTCTCAAAGTCAGAGGGCCGTCCTGACAAAGCAAGAGCACAAACCCACGCCGAAACTTCGTGAGCAAGAAGGGCCCGCGAAGGTGGTTTTCCTGGACGACAAAAGCCCGACCGCCCAGCGGTGGGGCCCCAGGGAGCCCTCACGAGCTGCTCCCGAGAGACGGCTGCAAAGGTGCGAGCTGGGCGAGCTGACACCTTAAGGGGAACTACCGCGCGCGCGACCCACCGCCCACCGTGCCCCGAGCCTGGGCTGCGCCGCCCGCCGCTACCCCGCCGGGTGGGGTCGGAGACCCCGTGGTCTGCGGCGCGCTGGTCCCCGTCTGCTTCTCCTGTCCCTCCCTCCCGGTCCGCACGGCCGTCCCCGAGAGCCGGGGCCGTCCCGGCGAGGTCCACGCCGGTGTCCTCACGCGGGACCCTGCACGACCCCGCCCTCCGAGGAAAGGCAGGGCCCGCGGCCCCGGCGCCTCCAGGTGAGGCCACCCTAGCACACACGCCCGGCTCCCACAGGTGCGCGGCAGGGGGCAACCATCGCACGGGGAAAGCAGCAGCTGCGGCCCGAGAGCGCGTACAGAAGGCCACCGGTCCCGGGCCGCACGCGCACCTCGGAACCGCTCCAGGGCGCCCTCCCGGGCCGCACGGTCGCCGAGCACCGCCGGCAGGCGGGCGAGCAGCGCGCGCGTCTCCGCGCTCTCGCAGAACGACTCGAGGAAGCCGCCGCGGGCCAGCGCCTCGTCCTCCGCCCCGTCCTCCGGCGCGCCCGCGGCCGGCTCCTCGCCCAGAGCCATCCTCGCTGCTCCGGACCGCGCCTGTGGACTGGAAGCTCGGCCCCGCCCGAGCACCGGGACGGGGGATGCCGGCTGATGCAGACGGAGGTACTACTGCTGAGGCGGAGGGGGTGGCTACCGACGCTGGCCCCGCCCCACGACCTCCGACCTCGCGCCTCGGACCCGCTACGGGACGCGCCGGCCGCCAAAATAGTGCGCAAGGAGGCGGGGCCGGGCCTTGTGGGGCGGGGCCCGCGTGAAAGGGAGCCTGGATCCCGCGAAGCTGGGAAGTCCGGGGACGGGAGCCTGATGCGCGGCCTGGGGGCGGGGCCAGAGAGAAGGCAGGGCGGGGTCTGAGGTGGTGCGTTCGATTGGGGTGGGGTGGGTGGGAGGTGTGGGGGCAGTCTGAGCTCAGGGCGGGGTGGGGTGGGGTCTGAGCCTGTCGGTGGGGTCGGGGCGGGGAACCGGGCCTGAGCTCGCTCGTGAGGTTGGGCGGAGGGGGTGGAAATCTGAGCTCGGGGGGAATGGGGACTGGGCCTGTGGGTGGGATCGAGGTGGATCGGGGGAAAGCCTCTGAGCCCGTGGGTGGGGTGGGGACGGAGCCTGTGGGTGTGGTCGGTGTGGGGTGAGGTCTGAGCCTGTGGGTGTGGCCAGGGCGGGGGCTGGGGGTGGTGAGTCCGAACGCGAAGGCGGGGTCTGAGCTCGTTGGTTGGGGAAAATCTCTACCCGTGGCAGTGGGGGTGGGCGCAGTGGCCTGCGCCTGGCGGCGGTGTCGCGGCCCCAGTAGCCGGAGGAGAACCAGGCCCCATCCCCCACGTGGGGCCCGACTCCCCCCTCTCCCCCCGTCGCACTGTCACATCCCACAAACCTGAGTTTTGCGACAAAGGCAGTTTCTGTTTTGAAATGTCACTTGTCTGGAAGGATACCTCCGGGGTGTTCTTTCTAGAAAGTCTTAACAGGCTCACACCTGTCAATGGGACCAGTCTCCTGACCGCGAGGCCCGCTGGACAAACAGTCTCAGAAAAGAGAAATTTGGGCGCCCTTATCACTGGGAAATTGGTAATTTTGCAAGGAGTAATAAAGGCGTGGTCTCGTCTCCAGCCCCGCACTGTGAATGGCCAGTGCCCCGCAGACCCTGCCCTGATGTAGCTTGCCCTGGGCCCTCCCTTCACGGATGACAGCCCCGGCATCTCCAACCAACTGGCCACCCCAGCCACCTGACCACAGTGGACACCCACTGACCAAGGCTCTCCCCCTGCCCTCGTCCCCTTTTTATCCAGCAGAAAACACTCCAGCTGGAAAATGGAGTGTGGGAGCAGCGCTGGGCAGTGGCTGCGGTCCAAATGCCTGGTCCCCATGTTATCCAGGGCCTTTCCTTCCATCTGCCCCGCCTCAGTAGGGAGGGCACTCAGAGCCCCACTCAGCCCCAGAGGTGCTACTCAAGAGGTGAGACCCATCTCCTGGTCTCCAACTCTGCCTAAGGCACAAACAGGAGCCCTGAGTCCACAGGGAGATGTGACCCCAACTTCCACCTAAGCAAATCCCAGATGTGTTTCTATAACATCATGAAAATACCCAAATTCCCCCTGGATCATGACACATAATGAGGCTGTTGGAAATCTGTCAGGTGCTCCGGGCCCTCTGCAAACTAGCCCAACTGCATGGAGGATAGAGACACAGGTGAACAAACACACACACACTTCCATCCCTGAAGCCCAGCCGGACTTTATTAGTCCCGGAAACCACCTCTGGTGTTGCTACCCAGAGTTACTAAGCAGGGAGGCAGGGGATGCAGGCTGGCTGCTACTTGAGAAGCTTCCTCATGGTGCCCAGGGACGGGCTCCTGTACTGCCGCCCAAAGTGGTTCCAGTGGTTCAGGTAGTTAAAGAGCTGATAGAGCAGGAGCCGCCTGTCAAACCCCGGAGCCTTGGGAATCTTCCGGTGGTAGGCAGTGAAGAAAGATCTGGGAAACCCCCCGAACATCAAAGCAATTGCCAGTTCAAATTCAGAATGTCCATAGAAGGAAGCTGGGTCATAAACAATAGGCCCTGAGTCATCCTCAGCCACGTTTCCTGACCAGAGATCCCCATGAAGAAGGGCAGGGACGATCTCTAGACCACAAAACAGATCCGGGATCTTCACCTAAGAAAATAATTATTGCACACGGAGTCATCATGGGCCTATGAGCCACAGCCTCCTCACCCAATACTTGGAAATAAGGCAGAGATGACCTCATGTTTGTTCAGAGTCCAGCCATAGCCCAGTCTACCAAGCCCAGAGATGAGGGGATCGTCTGAGTCCAAGAGAATGCAACATCATTGTACTATTTACTAATTTAGGTTTGGAAACTCCACAGCCCTAATGACTTCCATACAATAGCGACCTCAGTGGATGTGGTCGTGTAGACTGTGAACCATATAACCTGAACCGAGGGTTTCGGGGGGGGGGGGGAGGTAATTTAGTAAACTTTCTCCACCATTCTTTAATTTCACAGAACACATGTGTCTGCACCTGTTCTGTATACTACGAGTGCTATGGGTTATTTCATTAATGAGTTAAATTTCACCCTGGGATGACACACAAATTCTGTTTTTAACATTTTGAGAGTTATATTTTAAACTAGTCACTCTGGGGCATCTGCTGGCCACATCTCCAAGAGGTGAGACATTCGTGCTTTGGAAAAGAAGAAAAGGACAGGGTAAGAGTGGATAAGAAAGCAATAGTAAATGCCACAATTTATGGGCCAGGCACCTATGTTTGAGGTTAAGTATTTGGTGACCTAGCCAGTAAAAGTTGTACTCAGGGGCCAAGTATGCCCTCAGGTACCTTCCCCTTCCCAGTTTCCCCATCAGGCCAATAGTCAGGCACTTATGTGTCCACACTTAACCAGCTCTGCTCCATGGCTCCATTCTACCAGAGGGCTCCACACAAATATGGAGGATAGCCCATAAAAGAACAGCCCCTGTCCCAGAGAATAGCCTCTGCACCCACCTGTAGTTGTGACCACAGTTCTCGTGCCTCTCGGTCAGCATAGTCCTTTTCAATGAGGTCCAGCTGTGCTTGGAGACGGTACCGGGCAAAGAAGGTCGACCAGTCATCCTGCCACTCATTCACCTGGGCGACAAGGGGCCAAGGCTGATGCTGCTACAGCTGGTGTTCACAGGACAGCTATACATGGAGACTGCCCAAACCCCAGGACAACCACTAACAGAACACAACAAATATTACAGCTAGCCAACAGAGGAGATAGGATGGAGTCATTAAAAATAGTCCAAAAGAAGGCAGATGAACAGGAAAAGGGGAAACATAGAACAGATAGGACAAATAGAAAACAAACAGCAAAATGACAGATTCACCCCTAGCCACATCAATAAGTACATTAAATGCAAAGGGTCTAAATACCCTAGTTAAAGGGCAGAGACAGGTTGGAAAAATAAAGCAAGACTTGATTCCAAGCTGTGTACAAGAAATGCACTTTATACATGCTAACACTAGTCGAAAGAAAAGCTGGAATGGCTATGTTAATATCAGACAGAGTAGATTTCAGAGGAGAGAATATAAAAGAGGTCATTTCACAATGGAAAGCAAGTTAATTGATAAAGAGGACGTAGTAATCCTAAATTTCTGTACCCCTAATATATGGCAAATAGGCTCATGAACAGATGTTCCACATCATTAACCATCAGGGGAAATAAAACGTCAGTGAGACACCACTGCACACTCACCAGGAGAGCTTGAATTTTAAACAGAAACCACCAAGAGTGGCAAGGATGTGGAGGAACTGGAACCCTCACCCCCTGCCGGTGGGAATGTAACATGGTACAATCACTTGGGAAAGTATTTCTGCAGTATTTTTCTTAAAAAGTTAAATGTGAACCTACTATATGACCTGGCCATTTCCCTCCTAGGTAATTACCTAGGATAAATGGAAGCATGTGTCTACACAAACTCTTGTACACAAAGGTTCAGCAGCTTTATTTGTGGAAGCGAAACCTGGAAACTACTCAGATGCCCATCAGCAGGTAAATAGGTAAACAGACTGGTTCATTGTAGGAAGGAACGGACTCTGAACACTTGCAACACCATAGATGAATATCATGAAATGATTAAACTGAGTGAAAGAAGCCAGAAAAAGGCACGTAGTGTATGATTCCATTTATACTAAGTTCTATGAAATACAAATTTACCTACAGTGACAGAAAGCAGATCCGTGGCGCCCAGGGTCGGGGAAGGGTAGGAGGACGCTTCAGGTGATGCATATACGCACCCCAACCATGGGAACTGGTTCACAGGTACCTCTGCATGCCAAAACTTCTCACTTTGTACACGTTAAGTGTATGGTTTGAGGCGCCTGGGTGGCTCGGTCGGTTAAGCGTCCAACTTTGGCTCAGGTCATGATCTCACGGTTGGTGAGTTCGAGCCCCGCGTCAATCTCTGTGCTGACAGCTCAGGGCCTGGAGCCTGCTTCTGATTCTGTCTCCCTCTCTCTGCCCCTCTCCCCTGCTCACACTCTCTCTCTCTCTCTCTCTCTCTCTCTCTCTCTCTCTCTCTCTCAAAATTAGATAAATATTGGGGCGCCTTGATGGCTCCGTTGGTTAAGCGTCTGGTTAAGGGTCAGTTAAGGGCCCACTCATCCTCCCAGGGAGCAGGACCCTCCTGCAATTTCTGGGCTGGGACAGGTGCTCCATCCAGGACCATCTGTCACAGAAGGAAGAGGTGGACTAAGTGTTCTCCTGACCCCTTGCCCCTCCCTGGCCCCTCCCAGGCCCCTTGCCGCTTGCCCCTTACCCCTCCCAGTCCCCTTGGCCCACCCTGGTCCCTCCCTGGCCCCTCCCAGGCCCCTGGCCCCGTGCCCTTCCCAGGCCCCTTGTCCCTCCCCGGCCTCTCCCCAGCCCCGCCCAGCCCCCTTTGCCCCTCCCTGGCCCCTCCCCAGCCCCTCCCAGGCCTCTTCCCCCTCTCTGGCCCCTTGCCCCTCTCCAGCCCCTCCCCGGCCCCTCCCTGGCCCCTTGACCCTCCCAGGCCCCTTCCCCCTCCCAGTCCCCTTGCCCCTCCCTGGCCCCTTGCCCGCCCCTTGCTCCTCCCAGGCCCCTCCCCAGCCCCGCCCCTCCCAGGCCCCTTCCCCCTCCCTGGCCCGTTGCCCGCCCTTTGCCCGCCCCTTACCCCTTCCCAGGCCCCTCCCAGGCCCCC